CCAAAATTTAGGGTCGGAATAGGCCCGGAGCTAGGCCGGCATCAAGTAATAATACAAGCCAACTATATTACAGCAAAATTATCATCTGGGCAGCTTTACTTAGTACGTAGGCTACCATTTCATTGGGTGATTTGGGGATAAATTTATCAACTCCGGCCTATTCCGACCCTAAATTTTGGTCGATCTGCTGAATTTTGGTTGCTCCACTAATCTATCCTATATCTAAAGCCGTGTGCGGTCATATGTTTTTGATTTTTTAATTAAAGTTAGTGTAAGGGTTAGTGTAGGGTTAAAGTGAGAGTAGATCTTGTAGTAAAATTGCCTTCTCGACATTTTTTATTAATGCCTTAAGGTAGGTTTAGACACTCGCTTCACTTTTTTTTCTTATCGATCAAAACAAACAATTTTATTGGCCTATGTCACGTGAAAGCGCATGGCTTTAGGACTTGGACTGTTTATGGCAGTTTGATATTGGGTTGCGGAGCTTGCAAACTACAAATGAATTATAAGTTTCCGTAACTAAAGTTTGAAATGCATATGCAGTTTTGCAAATGAATTTTGTGAATTTGTATATAGATATTCAAATTTGTATACAGTATAAATATGTTTATATATATGTTGTACCCCGAATTGGAATCCGATTCAGAATTGGGACAGTCCCGAATGAGAATTTTGTAATTTTGGCCCGAATTATACTAGCCAAAATTAAAAATTTTTTATTATAAACCCTAATTCTAACGACCGGGGTAAAATCGCCACCCAAAAAAGTTTCGAAAATCATGTGATAAGTGTATCGGGCATTAAAAATTCATGTAACTTGAACAAAAAATCAAAAAATACAAATAAAAAAAATTTTATAGACTAACGAAATAATAACGATAAGCATTAAATTAATCATTTTATTTATTTCGAATAAACTTAATAAACGTAATATTTATTACAGCCAGAAAGTATTATGATTACGGTTTTTCCAAGTATTTGGAATATTTCGTTGCCTTTTAAAATGATTATAATCCTCCTCTAATTTACGCAAAGGCTCAAAGTTTTTATTAATACTATCGAGCCATTTGTTACCATTCGGGTTCATTATGTTTTCTTCAATAAGTTTTTTTGTTGTGTCTAACAAGTTAAAAATTTCTTGCTTACGGGTTTGGTACAAGATTGCATCTTGGTTGTTAATATTTATTTCCTGATTATTACTTGAAACCACATCAACGTCAACTTGGAGGTCATTATTATAGGCAGTTGCTTCACGGGTAACAATGTCTACAGATTTTTCTTGATTATCAATGTCAACTTGTGGGTCATCATTATGGACAGTTGCTTCATTGGCATAATAATTATAATTTAAATTTTCAAATGCGAGATGAAGATTTTCTGGCAAATCGGCAAAGGCATTCTCTTCCTTGATTTTCAATAAAGGATAGAATTCTTGACGGATTACCTTAATAAATATTAGCCAGGTAAATGCTTAAATTTGAGTAAAAAAAAAAATAGAGAGAGATATATATATTACCTTTTTAAAAAAGCCTGGTTCTACAGGACCGTATAATTGAATTAAATGTTTGCATATATGAAAGCGGTTTAAAAGAAAATCAGTACATGAGCATATCCAGTGTGATAAGTTAGTAATACGGTTAGGGTTTGGATTTATTATATGAGTAGCCAATTTTTTCCATTCCAATCGAAATTCTTCACGCCATTTTAACATGCATCTATTATTGCGTAATAACTGTAAATGACTAACTTGGGATGGAATAACCTTTGTTACAATAATGTAAATAATTAAATCTAATCTTGCACGATTAAAACTTAAAAAAAAATCGTGTTTTAAAATACGCCAATGACTTTCTATAGTCATTGTACTTCGTAAAATATTAAGCTCTAAGCTTGATGCACGAGCCCATAATTTCCATTTGTCAGGATGGTACCATTCAGACCATAAATACAGTAGATCCAAACATGTTTGAGATCATTTTGATAACAATAGTTATATTGTTCTTTAACGCTTTCAATCCAAATTTGATTCATACTTAAAAAGTTTGGCAGGCGTTCTATAGGTATGATTAGATGCCATGAAAAATGTATTCGAACAAGCTGAAGAATTTTCTCATGAAAATTTTTCTTACAAAAAACTTTGTCTTTTTCATTTAATCTTTGATCCTGATTTGTATGATCTGCTATTGTTTGATTTTGCCTAAGTGGTTGCCATGTAGGATCAATCAATGGGCAAAGCGAATGTGCTTCATAAGAATTATAAACATTATATACAATTCCAGTGCTTGTAAGTTTTTTTTTGATTGCACGAAGTACGTGCCAGTAGCATAACTGAATTTCTGCATCAGTTCAAATTTTACTTACAGCAGTAAGTTGCCCACAATTTTTATCCATTAAAATAATTTTAACGTCTTGAATTCCATTTATTTTTTTATTTTTTTATTTTTTTTGTAAATGCTATAGTTGAAACTTTATTTAATAAAATAGAAAAAAAAAAAATTCTACATTAAAGATTTCAGAACTACATTTGTGCTACTATATTAGGCACCCAATGTGACATTATACCCTCTAGTTTTCTATATAATGCAATCAATTA